GACTGTTGCATGAGGTCGCTGGGCAGCAAGTGAAGGAAATGGTGCCACTGAGGAGGGGAGGGGAGTCAGAGAGCCCAGACTGTGCCAGACCGGTGGCCAGCCTGGCATGCCCATTCAACACATGGCAGCCGCCCGTCATCCCCGGGCACTCCGGTGTGTCAGCTCTCCAGGGCACCCTGTGGGATCTAAAGGGCACACAGTGTGAGCAGGGTCTTCCCCCTGAGTGGCACAGTGTCTGGGAGGCGCCATGAAGCAGCCCGTCAGGGAAGTAGCAGTGCAGAGCAGAGTGGTCGGGCTGACGTGACAGTAATGTTAGGCGGAGGAGACGTGGACGTACAGGCCCAGGGGACTGCTGTGTGTTTTCCAACTGGTGGGAGAGGCCTAAGGGGCTGACAGCTCCCCGGCAGCCGAAAGGGGGTTGGAGGTGTCTGACATCAGGGGCCAGTTTCAGCTGCTGGTGAGTCCCAGAAACATCTCATGTTCCCATTCGTACAAAGGTAGAAGGACCCTGTCCCTCTCTGCGCTGCACTGGCCTCGGCTCACAGGCAGGTTGACTGGAGTGATTCCTGCTCTCGGATGTTTGGCTACAACTGGGAGCCTCTGCTTGTCACGGTGCCGCCCGGGAGGGAGGCTGCAGCACGGCTTGGGGCCCTGCTGTGGCCTGGCCGTGCCCAGCGCATGTTCTCCTACACAGAGTACCATCGACACCCAGGGGGGCACTTTTCCCCACGAGGTGCACCCCCCGGATCCACTGAAAAGCGGGTAGTGGAGTCTGAGTTGCTCCTGGCGGCGGTACAGTGATGGGGAGTGGGGCTCCCTGCACACGGCTCATCTCCTGGTGCAGCCTGTGGGCAACCAGGGCCCTGTCCAAGCAGGACCCTTCACTACCACTTCCCTCCTGGTCCTGAGCATCCATCCAGGCAGGAAGTAGCTGCCAGGTACCCTCAGCTCCTCTGTAAACCAGGATCTTCTCAGCTTGACTTAGCTACTGCAGCTCACAGGAAGCAAAGCATACTTTCTAGTTCGATGCATCATCTCACCCACCCACCCAGAGGGCTGTGGGACCCTGGGCTTCCCTGGCCCTTTGTCAGTGGCTTGGGGGTGAATCTGGGGCAAGCAGGGGAACAGAGCAAAGCGGCAGCAGGGTGTTCAACTCTGTTTACTGTGATTTCAAAGGCCCTTTGGCAAACTGTCATGAATGAGGCAGCCAGGAGATGTGGATTGGACAGGCCAGCTGGGGCTCTGGATATCAGGTGATGATGGTGACCATGAAATATACAGCGTAGATGATGACTTCACTTCAGAAGATACCCTGGAGTCACCTCCATTTCAGCTCTTTCGCCCTTGACACTGCATGGTCTTGGGGACACACACAACTGTTTACTGCTGGCTCTCAGTGAACGGAAACCACTCATATCTCTCCCCTCCCCTCCTCTCCTCTTCTCTCTCTCTCTCTCTCTCTCTCTCTCTCTCTCTTGTTTACCATGAGCCAGGCCAGGGGATGAAAATGGCAAAAATGTTCAATCCCAACCCTCATTGTGGTTGCTTGGTGATTCTCCCCACACCCACCCCGGTGCGCCTGCCCCACACCCACCCCGTGCGCCTCCCTCACACCCACCCCGGTGCGCCTGCCCCACACCCACCCCGGTGCGCCTCCCCCACACCCCCTTTGGCCTGGAGTAAGGACCCATCGCCCTGTGGGAAGATGTCTCCTCACCCGAGCGCCCTGCTTTTCTCCCGTAAATGTGGAGAAGGACCAGGAAGGCGTATCCGCAGGTGTCTCCTGTGTGCTCGCTCGCTCTGCCAGCCTCCTGGCTCCGTAGCCTGGTTGGGCAGCCGAGCTTCGGGACCGCTCTCCGTCACTGTGCGGTGGGGGGGGGGGGGCGCTGTTCCATCATGTGTGAGCCCTTCCTGTGGAAGAGGGGTGCCCCGGGAACAACGGGCCATTGGGCTGAAGTTAGGAAAAGGGTCAAGTCTATGGAAAGACAAAGGTTATAAACCCGTGTTCCCTGCCAGTGGGTGGATCGACTGGGACAGTTAGCAGCTGCCCCACCTCAGGAAGGCCTTTAGCAAAATCCGACGTGAGGCAGGACTTGGGGTTGTGAGACCTGTGAGGTCCCTGCTGCCAAGTAGGGTTCTGTGCCTGGGAGACCGCTCCGCGGCGACGGGAAGGACCCTGCAGACGGGCTTGCCCCCGGGGCAGTGTGTACGCGTCTTCGTCAGGCCTGCTCAAAATGAGAGCACTGAACCCCACACAGGCGCAGGGACGGGGCGAGCAGGTTGGATGGCCGCATGCCGGATGACTGGACCTCATCCATCTAACATTTTTGTGTTGTTAATCCTTACTTGAGGATATTTTTCTATTGATTTTCAGAGAGAGTGGAAGGGAGGGAAGGAGAGAGACAGACAGAAACATTGATGTAAGAGAGATACATCAGTTGTTTGCTTTCCAAAGGACCCCAACTGGGGCTGGGGGTCGACCGTGGGACCCTTCAGTGCACAGGCTGACACGAACCGCTGAGCCAAGCCGGCCAGGGCAGAATGTCCTTTTTTCTCAAGTTCTTTTCTGTGGCAAGAATTCCGGGGTGTGTGACTGCGTGGAAGCTGGAGTGCCTGTCAGTGGAGGACGTCATGCTCACCTAGGATCTGTGCGAGGAGGACGCGTCAAGGCGACCCCGGGGAACATGGTGAGCTGCCTCCTCCACAGAGGGCTAGGCAGCTGGGCGGAGCAAGCTTTCTCTGAAGGATGTTTTGTACCTTTTGAATTTTGAATCATGTGCATGTTGTACCTGTCAAAAAATAAATGTATGGCCCTGGCCAGTTTGGCTCAGCAGTTAGTGTCAGCCTGCAGTCCAGAGAGACCCGGGTTCGGTTCCCGCTAAGGGCATGTACCTCGGTTACAGTTTGTCCACGGCCCTGGTTGGTCGTGCGGGTGGCAGCCACTCGATGTGTCCCTTCACGTCGATGTTTCTCTCTCTCTCTCTTCCTCCCTCTCCTTCCCACTCTATCTGAACAAAAAATGGGAAAATGTCCTCCGGTGAGGATAAATAAATAAATAAATAAATGTATGTATGTATGTATGTATGTAGCCCTGGCCGGTTTGGCTCAGCAGTTAGAGTGGTCTGTGCACCAAAGGGTCTCAGGTTTGATTCCCGGTCAAGGGCAAGTACCTGAGTTGCAGGTTCGTCCCCAGCCCTGGTTGGGGCCCGTGCAGAAGGCAACCGATCGATGTGTTCCTCTCACATCGATGTTTCTCTCTCTCCCTCCCTTCCCCCATCCACTCTCTCTAAAAATCAATGAAAAAAATATCCTTGGGTGTAAAAAATATCTTTTACAACTTTAAAAATAAGTTGTACTGCCCTGGCCAGCTTGGCTCAGCGGTAGAGCATTGGCCCATGGACCAGAGTCATGGGTTCAATTCCAGCCAAGGGCAAGTACCTCAGTTGCAGTTCATCTCCAGCCCTGGTCAGGTTGTGTGGGAGGCAACCAATGTGTCTCTCTCACATTGATGTTTCTCTCTCTCTCTCTCCCTCCCACTCTATCTGAAGATACAATAGAAAAATATCCTCGGGTGAAGATTAAAAAGTAAATTAATAAAAAGTTGTGTTAGGCTAGAACACTGCAGGCAGCCAAGAGGAAATGGGAAGCAAACTAACCATCATTGAACATCTGCTTTGAGCCAGGTATCGGCGGGATGTTGCACATACGGGATGCTTCTGGTCCACACAGCCCTCCCGGGAGTAGACAGCACCAAGGCTCCGGTGTGCTGGTGTCGAGGTGCTTGCCTGTCTACCGGGCCGTCCCTGCGGCATTGTGCTGCCCCCTGGAGTAGGAGCACTGAGTAGCCAGGGCCGAGGAAAGAGGCCTGCTGGGGCGCTGCCAGCGGGCCCCGCCTACTGCGCAGAGACACACCCTCCATCTGCTCGGTCCGCTGTCCTGGTTCCCTCTGCTCTTGCAGAGCCTGGGCACACAGTGTGTGTTTAGAGGCGGCGTTTCTGCTGCGGGGAACACCTTCCTCTGCCCCTCCCAGGCTACGAGGGGGCGCGCCTGCCCTGTGCTCTTCTCCCTGGCGGGAACCTGTCGTCTGTCTGCCAGCTGTGGGCTGGCTGGAGCACCACCGTTCTGATCGTCAGACCCAGGCTCCTTCCCTGATGGAGAGGAGAGCGTCCAAGCCCTGGTACAAAAGGTTCTCTCTCCATTTCTTTGGAAAAAGAGCAAGTGAATGAGCTCATTTTCACTGCAACCCAGAAAGGAGGAGGGAGGAAGAGAAGGTAGCCTCCTCACTGCCCGTCCTCCCCTCCTGGGAGGTCTCCTGGGTGGAGGACTTGGGTCTGGCTCAGGGTGACCAAAGCCAGATGGTTGGGACAGGTGGTCCATACAGGGACAATGCTGGAAATGTTGAGACCAGCTGTCTGCTGTGGCCCAGAAAAGGACAAGTGTCTGTACCCTTTTCATCTCCGGCGCAGAGCTCTGTCTGGGGTTGCTGGTCTCAGCTCTGGACATTGGCCTCACGACTCAGCACGGCCTTGCAATGTCAGCGGTCTCTGGGCGCCTGCGACCTGCCGGGCACTGCTCTAGGCACCTGGGCCTACACGTGGCAAAGCTGCAAAGTCTGCTCTCATGGATTAATGGCTCGTGTGCACGCTGACATGCGCCAGGTCTGGCCCGCTCTTGCACCCTCTGCCCAGTCCTTGCCCAGTCTGGGAGAGCTGGGGGCAGGGCTGATCCATGAATGTCCTGGCAGAGGGGCTCTTTGGCATTTCCAGCTGCCAAGCCGAGGCTGTTGCCCACTCACTCCCTTGAGAGTGTGTCTTTGGACCCTGCTGGGCTGTGGTCAGAATGGGCCTTCTCGGTCTGCGTGGCAGAGGCCTGACGCCTTGCAGGTTGGTGCTGGCCTCGGAACCATCTGGAGAGCCTGGAGTTCTGCCCTGTGCATGGATGGTGGGCTGGCCGTGTTTAAGCCGCACCTGACACCCTCTTTTGTTTCTCTTCCGCTTCAGATTGAGAAAATCATGAGCTCTATTGGAGAAGGGATCGACTTTTCTCAGGAACAGCAGAGGATCTCAGGTATGTGCCAAGCGGCCGTCTTCCCCCTGAACTCAGACCTTGGCTCCCTCGGGCTCAGGACAGACCTGAGGGGTGAGAGGTCAGCCCAGCTAGCTGTTCTTTGGGAGCATGGCTCCTGTTACACACTGGAGGGAAGTGTGTACAAATTGAGTTTGTCTATTAAGAAACTGTTTTTCTTAATGAGCAACTGTCTCTCATAATTCTCTTCTTGAATATAGCTTACTCCGAGTGGCTTAAATTGGCGCCCCAGGCAGCTGGGGCGCTGAGTCTTCGCGGGCACGTGCCCTCGTTGGTCTAGCCGGAGCCAGTGCCTCGACTGTCAGCCTGCGTCTCCCAGGGGGGTCGGTTTTGCTGGTTCCTCCATTTTTCCGCTTACTTTGTCACTCATCATTTTTACTTCAGACCTCTACTACTTTGGGTATTCTTTTCATCTCAAAGAGGGGTGAGGTCTGCCTCTGTTTCCTTCATTTGTGGTTGTGTTACTTTCTTAGGTCAGGTGACATGCTTAAGGTGCCCCTCCGAGCAGCCCTCCACTCTGCCCCTCCCAGCCTGGCCTCTGCCCCTCATCAAGCAAGTGCTCTCTGCACCGAAGGGCCGCTCCCGTGCTTACTCGGGCGGCTGCGTCCAGGACTGGCCTCTGGTTCCTCCGTGGGCCTCTGGCAGGAAGTCTGACGGATGGGCCAGTGTGCACACTAGGGACAAAGGGCCTGCTGGGGCCATGGGCTTGTGGAGAAGTACAGACTCTGGAGCCTCCGTCCTGGGTTCAAATTCTGGTTCCAGATCCGTGTGTGTCTTGGACAAGTCACTTGATCTCTCTCAGCCCCGCTCCCTATCTACATTGGGGTAACAGTACCCACCTCACAGGTGTGTGGGGCTGAGGGACGCATACAAACACCTGAGCTGAAGAAACACCCCTGAAATCACTGCTGGCTCTGATGGAGAAACCTCAAGAAGGGGCATTGCCCCCAGCTTGTTGCCCAGCACCATTTTCAGACGGGGGTCCTGGGGTGTCCTCCCTCCAGCAGCCTTGTTTCCCTGGGTTCTGGTAGGGGGCCCAGCAGGCTCTGGCCTGTCTTTGTGCATCGTGGGTTATGGGGTGGGGGTCTGCAGGGGGCGCTCTCGGGCTGAGAGCTAGTGGACCTGAGACCATCACTGCTGCTTGTCAGAGCTGTGCCGTGAGTGCCGTCGGGTGGGTAACAGTTTAGCCGAGGCCGAGTCTTGCTTCCCGGCACCCTCTGTGTCAGAGCAGCAGTCACCTCTTGGCTGTGCTAAGTCCGGAAATGTGGCAGTGCCTCCTGAACACACTTCTGGAAGAGCCTTCTGGAGGTGGTGGCACAGGGCGCCTTCCTGCCCTGCTGGTTCCACCCCACTTTCGCCCCCATGAACCCGTGTGAGTGCTGGAATTGGTTGGTCCCACTATCCCCCTAGGTTTCTGGATCCCCACACACGGTCTGATTTTAGTGGTCATTGAGTCGACTCATCCTCCATCCTCTAGCTTAGGAAGTCAGGGCAGGCACACGAGGGTGGCCACCTGGACTTTGAGTGCGTCCACCATGCTGCCAAGCCCCAGCCTGCCGTGTCCGCCCCTCTGCCAGGCCGTGACTCGTGCAGAGGGTGGGCTCAGCCTGCCCAGCACTCTGCCTTCTGTCTGACAGTCAGGAGGGGGCTTTCCCCATGACCCCAGGGAGCACCAGCCTTTAGCCCAGGCCAGAGCAGGATTCTGTTCTATTTTGAATGGTCAGTATCAGGGCACTGATTGTCCTTGGGTTTCTGGATCCAGGAGAAGGGACCTGGGCTCTGGGTTTGCAAGCCTGGCTGGGGTTGCCCGGCGCTCAGCTAAGCATGGGGTGGCCCGGCCCTCAGCTAAGCATGGGGTTGCCCGGCGCTCAGCTAAGCATGGGGTGGCCCGGCCCTCAGCTAAGCGTGGGGTTGCCTGGCATGACCGGTTTTGCAGAGGCTTATGTGCTGAAAGGTGAGACCCTCTGTAGCACTTGAGTCTCAGCCCTGTTTTGGGCCACCAGCCAGCCCTGAGTTGCCAACTTTGGAGCTCGTTATCTGAGTCTCAGCAGGCATGGTTCATAGCTCCTCCCACTGACAGGAGTCCAGGAGGCAGGAGGGGGAGACTCCCCACTGGCCCAGGCCACTCTGGCCCTGTTCACCGAAGGCCAGCTCTGTCAAGTGGAAGAGACCGTTCTGTCTGTGGAGTAGCCACTAAGTGCCCATTGCCCTGGGCCAGGGCCGCTGCAGCCGGGGCGCAGGGTTCCCAGCGTGCTCAGTGGTGGCATGTGGTCCCTGGGTTGTCTCTGTACACGTTACCTCTTTTGTCTCCATGGCTGGACCTGGGCTTTGGTCCTGGCTGCCTTGTGCTCATGCCTCCCCGCCCGTGCCCTCCCCTTCGGGCTGTGTGGCCTGCTCTGGGCGCTTGTTCCCTGCGCTCGCCTGTTTCTGTGACACTGCGACGCATCTTGGCAGAGAGGCACAGTCATTCCTTAGGTGGCTTGTGGGCTAACCTCCGGCCGTGTCCTCAGGGCAGTGCACTCCTCTGTCCCCTCCCCAGCTGTCCTGGGCACTGTCAGCCACACCTCAGCAGTGCCCCTCTCCAACCCCATGGAGGTCAGGTCTCGCCAGCGCTGCCTTTATGTTGGCGGCTGTGTGGGCCGCAGTCTGTCATTTTGCTCTGACATTCGTGCTGCCGTGTCCTCCCTCCGCGGCGGCGGCAGCTTCTGCTTCAATGTCCGATCCCTGATGTGTTTCCTGAGCGTGGAGGGGGAGGGGAAGGGGAGGGCCGGGCATTATGAGAGGGAGCGAGGACGGAGCAGCAGCAGGCGCGTGGAGCCAGGAGCCTCCAGACAAAGCACTTCGCTGCGGTCCTGGGAGGGACGCTCCCTCCGGCAGGCGGACACAGCGGCCCCACGGATCACAGCGGGGATGAATCAGCAGCCAGGAACACCGGACTCTGTGGACGGATGAGAGCTCGCTGCCTAGACCCTGGGACAGACAGCCCCGCTCAAGGGCAGGGAGCTCAGGTGTCCCAGACTCGGCCCCTCGGGGTGCTGCTGCAGCCTGCCCGGGGGGCCGCCCGGTCCCTGGCCACCATCTATGCAGCAGAGGACAGACGAGGGGGAGCTGGGGACCCTGGGTCACCAGAGTCTCCCAGATAACCAAGCCAGTGGCCTCGGGCAGGAGTGCCAGGAACCACAGAATGACTGTCACCGTGTCAAGACCGTGGCAAGAGTTCTCTGGAGGTGATGTTTTTGTAGTCGGTTCTTCCTTCCTCGCACCTCTGTGTCCTCCCTTCTTCCTCCCTCCTCTTGTCTGTACTTGCCTGTGAGCACCGGAGAAGTAGGTGGGGTTACGGTGTCCAGCTCTGAGCATCCGAGGTCTCCCAGCAAGGGCTGAACTTCTCTCTCCCACCTCCCTGCCCCACCTGAGGAGCATGGCAAAGAGCTGTCCTCCCTTCCCCACTCGTCCTAGAGGAGACCGTCAGGATCCGGAGCCCCTAGGAGGACACGCTGTCTTTATCTCTCAGCCAAAGAGAGCACGGCGCGGAACGTGAACAGACTTAAGCTGCCACAGCGCAGCGACCAAGGGCCGCTTTCTTTTCTCTGGCTGGGCTTTGTCGTCTTTAGCCAAGAACTGGATCTGCCTACCTGATTTCCACCTGGGCGGGCCCGTGAGTCCCGGAACAGCCACATCAGTGAGATGAATGCCCAGCCCCTGCACACCCGCCCTGCCCGGGAAGGCAGCCCTTCAGACAGCACCCTGGCCCGGGAGACGCCCCGCGCACCTGCTCCTGGGGTCTAGCTGTGGACCTGGCTCCTGGCCCACTGGCCACACAACCCGGCGGAGGGTGATGTCGCCATCCCAGCAAAGCCACCCTGAGCCCTGGCCCAAGCGCCCTGCTCAGCTCCTCGCTGCCTGAGCCTCTGAGCACAAAGGGCCATGGTTTGCTTGTTCCGGGACTGCTGGGGGGAAACAAGTAAAAGTCTCTCTCTCCCCTGCCGTGCTCGCTGCTGCTTGGGTTGCATGTGCCGGGTCCCTGTGTACAGCCGCTGCTTCCCTCCCAGAGCCCCAGCGGAGCCTGTGTCCCTGAGCTGCATGAAGATGCGTGCGCCCTCCTGACCGTGTGCTGCAAGGTCGCAGGATGGGCCCACGCCCACGGCCCACGGGGCTCCTGGATGCATGGATGACAGGAGCCCCCACCCCTGCTAGTGCCCATGGGGCCAGACTTTGTGAACCATCTCAGTGTGAACGCTGACGAGGAGCTGACCCGGAGACCCCTGGGGATTGGCTACCCCTCCCCTCCAGTGGGCAGAGGTTGTGCATGTGCCCCACGGCCTGGAGCAGCTTGGCCGAGGGGGAGCGGGCCGGCGCCCGAGGTTGTGGGTGTGCACGGCGCCCCGTGAGCTCCCCCCGCCCGCACACGGAAGAGGCGCGGCGGGTGCTCCGCTGTCTGCCCTCTTGTCCGTGGTCTGGCTGCACTGTGGTGATGACTGTGGTGTGGCAGTGCCATCTGTCTTCCTCTGAGTGCTGCTGCTACCGCCTGCACGGTCTTTCCCGTGTCAAGCGCCTGCCGATTGCTCTCTCGCCAGGTGCGCGGGCGCTGGAGCAGAGCGTCGGGGAGTGGCTGGAGGCCGTGGGGCTGCAGCAGTACGAGAGCAAGCTGCTTCTCAACGGCTTTGACGACGTCCGCTTCCTGGTAAGTGCGGGCCGGGCGCCCGGGGACCCTCCTGCTGCGTCTGCGACATGCAGAGAGCCGTCCGGCAGAGCCGACCAGTGACCCACGCCGGCTGTGTCGCGCACCCTCTTTCTCAATTTGTCCCCTCAACTGTGCTCCTGAAACTCTTCTGTAGGGAGAGCTCTTTGCAAGTCTGCATCCCAGGAAGGAGGGTCCCTGACCTCAGACCTGTGTCCCCTCCCCACTCTTCCTCTCAGACCTCAGGCCGGGTGTGTGAGGTGAGGCGTCAGGCCATCTTGTTCCCAGTCACACGGGAGTCTCGGTGGGCAGGACAACCGGCTCCCTTGGTGACTGTCCCGCCTTCGCCGGATACCAGAAGTTCCCTTTGTTCTCCAGAACTTTGGCCTCCTGTGCCTGTGCGGATGCCCGAAGGGGCTGGGTTGGTTCTTTTTTGGGGTGTAATTGTGTACTCCCCCCGTCTTACAAACATAAGGTTAAAAGAAAAGAAAAACACCGAGGTGTGTCCTCAGGCCCTGTGGTGTAGGGGCTCCCGCTGGCTCTGGGGAAGGGGTGAGGACGGAGCAGGGGACATCCCCTCTGGGCAGCCTCCCTGGGACCTCGCGGGTTGGGCCAGGGCAGCGCTGTATCCCGGCGGCCTTGGTCGTGGTGGGTGTCGGCTCCCGAGTGTCCCGGCGATTTCCAGACCCAGAGCAGTGCAGGGCTGCTCGTGTCCACGCCACTAGCGTGGGGGCGCGGGGCGTGGGGGGTGCGGGGGGCGTGGGGGCGCGCACCAGGCTCTGGGTCTGAGGGTCGCGCTTCGGCGCGGAGCCCGCCGCCCCTTCCCTGTGTGGGGTGGGCGGTGTGCTGCTGTCGCCCTCTGCGTGCGCGTGTCACCTCGGGAGCTTGCGTGGAGGGGCCACTGCCTCCCTGGCCCTGGCGGGCGGCTCCCTCTCTCACGTCCCGAGCGGTCCTGACTTGGCAGATCTCCGTCTCCGCCCAGCCCTCCGCTGCCTCGGTTGGGGAACAGTGGTCAGTCAGCCCGGAGCACCCCCTGCCCTCTGCTCACCAGAGTGGGTCTCTGAGGGCCCTCTGCTGGCGGGGGTGCCCTTGATGCCTCCCAAGAGCCAGGGGGCGGCCTGGCCTCCAGGAGGGGCCAGACATGACTCTTTAGCTTTAAAGATATATTAGGTTTTAAAATAACAATTGTTTAAAAAAGTTAAACTGAGTTTATTTATGGTTCTTATAACCTAACCCCTGACTCACCATGTTCCTTGGGGAAGGAACAAACCCAGAATGGGGGTAGGGCCCGGCCTGCGAGGGGCACGGGGAGCCCCTCTGAGCCTGCATGCAGGGCTGAGTGCTTGGCCTCTTGCTCCTCCTGCTGGTTGTGCAAGGGGAAGGTCCCAACCCTTGCGTATGGAGACACCATGCAAACTGCTCCCCTGCCCCTCCCTGTGCTCCTGACCAGAAAGGAGCTGAGCAGGCCTCTGGGGAAGCCTGGGCCACATGTCCACTCGAGACGCAGGGCTCCATTAGAACGGTTCTGTTCCCCTGGGAAGGGCCCTCGCCAGGGGAGGCCAGCAGCTCCCATTTCCAGGCCCCTGCTGGTCACACCTCACCCAAGCCTTTTGCTTCCGGCACCTGGAGTGGCCTGAGGAGCCTTGTAAAGCATTCTGGGTAATTGCATTCAAATTGCCAGATGGGCTGTGAGGCTAATTAAGTTTTAGCAACCAGAAAACGAGGACGAAAACACACAAGTAGGGGCCTGTTTGTTTAGAAACACTGCATGTGGTGTAACGTCTGTCGCGTTCGCCGCGGTGCCCCGTGTGGTTTGCAGGTGGCTCCCGTGGTTCTGAAGGGCCCTGGGAACTCCCAGAGTCACACGAGGCTCCCAGGAGCCGGACCCCGACACAATGGGCGTCTGGAACCTGAGGGTGTTGCACAGGCGAAGACGTTGTGGGGTTCCCCTGCCGGAGTCCCACAAGTTTGCTGTGGGAGGAGTACAGGGCACGGGGGTGGTCACACAGCCCCTCAGGGTGAAAGGGACTTCAACATCATGGCGTCTCATCATCCCCTCTCTGCCGGGTCCCTTTCGGGTCATCTCTGCCACGATGTTGTTCCATTGACAGGTTCACCACCCTGTGTGGTGAATGGCCTGTCCGTGGTTTTAGCACACGGCTGACTTAGAGCGTTCTTCATACTGAGCAAAACTGCATTTCCTCGTGGCTGCCGTGCCCTGGCTGCAGGTCTAGCTTTTGCAGCCACACAACACCCTCGAGCCCTTTAGAAAACTGAAGGTCTGTCGTGGCTCCTGGGTCCTGTCTTGTCTATGCCCCGTGCCTCCTTCCCGTGGCCCTGCCTCCTGTGAGGTGATGACTGGGCTAGGCTGGCGAGCATTGCAACTTGAACTTGAGTCACACTCTGTTGCTGGCAGGCAGAAGGGGCCTTTGATGGGCAGGGGTCTGGGTCATGATCAGAGTGGGGGCGACCGGGTGCTCCCTGGGCTGGGTGGGGCTGACACCAGATGGCCGGCTCACCACACTGGCTCGTGCACCCGCCAGCAGCCTCTTTCACCACGAGTCTCATGCCCAGGAAATGGGCTTTCTTAGGAAAGGGAGGTCACTGGTGGCAGGCAGCTCCAGCCCCAAGCAGGCTGGCGCAGGACTCATGTCTGGGACTCGGCCGGACCTCCCTGCGTGCAGATGTTGACTGAGTAAAGGGTCGTGTCCCTGATGCTGGAGCATTACGTGGACGTTAAAAATACGCTCTGAAGAATGTCTGAGATGGGAAAACAGTCACTTTGGAATGTTGAGGAAGAAATTGGTGTACAGAAATCCACATGCAGCATGAAAAAGAGAACATCTGTGCCCAGAGGTCCAGGGAGGATGTCAGACTGTTCGGTGGTATCCTGGGACGAGGGCGGCCTCCTCTCCTGCTCTGGAATGTAACAGTTCCTGCATTCTCTGCAACGAGTGGACTGAAATCCGGAAAGTCAGTACTGTGGGTATCGAAAGGCAAGGTGGTGGTCCAGCTGGGAACACAAGGCAGGTAAAACAGTCCGGCGAGGCCTGTGGGTGCTGCAGCGGCAGAGGGAGGACAGCCTCGTCTGGCCCAGTGTTGGCCCTTTGCTGCCCAGCTGCCCCACCACCCTGGGGTCCTGTCGGTGGAGTTGCAGTTGGGCGCTCAGGCCCAGAGGGTGGGGGCACAGCCTGGGCCTAGCCCCAATCTGCCCAACTTTGAACCTCTGGTTACGCTCGCTGTCCTGGGGTTTTGCAGAGGCTGTGGGACTTGGAAACACTGCAGGGAAAGGCCAGGCCGGTGAGAGGCCCGCGCTGACTGCGCATGGGGCAGGAGAGGTGGGCAGGCCAGCCTGCAGGGGCCTTGATGGCCGCATGGGGGGGGGGTGTCCTCTGGCTGTGCCCCTCACCAGGCAGAGAGCCCCTGCACCCTCGAGGGTGGGCAGGTGGGGGGTTGTGCAGTGAGGACGGGCAAACGGAGAATGGAAATGAGTCTGGAGCCAGAAACAGACTGAGTGGCAGGCCTGGCGCCTCCTACAGCCAGATCTGGGAGGGCTCCGTCCGTCTGCTCTCCGAGGGCACCTGCCCTGCGCAGATGCTCCACTGTTTCCTGTCTGTTTCTGAGGCCGTGCCAGCCTGTTCCCACCTGTCCGAGAGGACAGGTGACTGCAGCCGGTCCTGAGAGCTGAGAAACACAAGCTCCTGGAGCCGGTCCTTCTTTCCAGCCAGGCCCCAGACCCTGAGCTGCCTTCCTGCTCCTGTCCCAGGTGAGGGGCTGCACCCTCGGGTTCCTACCTGGCTGCCCTCCTCCGACGTCGACCATTGCCTCCCTCCCTCCCGCTTCGAGGGGAGGTGCTGCCCTCCCTGGTCCCCATGCCCCCTCCGCGCCCCAGCTTCCTTCCCCCCAGCCTGCCCCCCACCTCGCTGCTCTGCAAGTGGTCCCTGCCCTGTGAGGCGGGAGCTGAGAGAGGAACCCCAGACAGTGTGGGTCCTGCCTCTGGGACTGACTGATGCTGTGGTCACTTGGGGACTGAACACCTCTGTGTACTGGGGCTGATGTGCACCAGCTGTTCCCATCACTGCTGGCCCTCCGACCCTGAGACGGCACGCTGCGGGCCCCTCCGGCCTGCGTGCTCTCCTTCCCCCGCCCCCCCTGCCCGGCCCCCTGGAGCTGTTCAGGAGCCGGGCGCTGTGTGCCTCTGGCCTTCTCCAGCCCCCTTCGCAGAGGGACGTCTGAGCACTGTTCTCACCTCTGCTCTTTCAACTGCACTTTAAGACAGAATCGGACGGCGACCAGGTTCATAGTCCTGGTGCTGGCGCAGCGTGACGGCCGCGGGGGCCTGGCTCGGGCACTGCGTTCTGTTTAGGAACCCCGAGGGCAGGGCCTGGTGCTGTGTCGGTGAAGTGCAGTCTCCCCAACACCGAGTGTCAGTTATGACTCGGGTTCAGGGCCTCCCTGAAGCCCACCTGCGGGCTCCTGGGGTCCACAGACACCACATTCAGGACTCCGGGATCAAGTCACTTCCCCAAGGCTGTTCCGCAAGCGGGCAGCTGAGCTGTGGCCGGAAGCGGGTCTCCTGGGCCCAGAGGTGCCTCCCCGCAGCCCCTGTTCTGGCAGGAGCAGTGCCCGGAGCTGGACCCTGGCAGGAGCCAGGGCCTGGGTCAGCAGACACCTCCCACCCACTGTGCGCTGGGGGCCGGGAAGGGCATGCCCTCGGCCCTGGCTTGGGGCCCACGATGTCCTTCTGGACCTACAGCTGCCCCGCCCCCCCACAGGTCGGGACACGGGTGCCCCTGCCCTCCCCTCATGGAGCCCCAGGGCCGAGGGCGCCGATAGGAAACTGGACAGAGGAAGCACAAAAGAAACTCAAGGTTCCCCTTCCTCAGGAGAGAGCTGGGCGGGGAGGCAGGAGGCGGGGTTTTCCTCCCGGTCCCCTCTGTGACTCTGGGCAGGTGGCTCGGCCTCCCTGCCCGTCCGGGTCTCGTGGGGCCCTTGTGTACTGC